TGGGTAATTCACCAGTGGCTGTACCTCCAAAGAAAAATGACTCCCCCTCCTCAGGAAACTATTAACTAACTCAGCTGGGGGCGGGGTTTCATATGCCCCTCCTTCATCCATGCTGGACTATTAATGGGCTTGGTGCAGGTATCCACAGCGCTGTGAGTTCATGTGTGCCACCCCCATGTCATGTCCAGAGGATGACATGTCACTGTACCGCTCACCGTCTTCCAGCTCTAACACCTTTTCCACCCCTCCTCCTGGACGTTCCTTGAGTCTTCGGGGAGGAGGGGGTAAGTAGATGCTCTGGTAGGACTGAGCACTCCGTACTCACTTGTTCTCAACATTTCAGCCACTAGGAAGCTTCTCTAACCAAGGCTGAGAGTAGCACTAATACATCAGTATAAACATTAACATGGAGAAGGCAGCTAACAACACGGCCATTTAACAAAACAACAGTCATCAGGCCCTCACTAGAGCCTGTGACTTCCTAGCCACGGGCTTTTGAGCAGGTTTCCAGCAGCAGGCATGAATTCCCTCCTGTGAAGCAGGCCTCATATCTACCCAGAATGTGGCTGGTTAGCCTCACAACCGTTGTCTCTGTTCCACCAGTAGGTCCATCTTGCCTAGCAGGTCAGTAGTACAGCATGCATGGCCCACCACTGTGGTAAGCCCATCCATGACTGTTCTTCTTCAGCGGCCTCAGTGGCACATTCTGGCTCTACGAGAGCTCACTAACAAGGAATTGTCCAGGCCGGCAATCGGGTCTTCCCATCTCATTCTGGCGAGCTAGCAAAACAATAGCAATGGCCTCTGTTGTTTGGGGGAGCCTCTGGGACCCCTCTGACCATAGGGAGGTATCCACTCCCAACACTGGGGTTTTGTCTAATGACCTACAGCTTGTATAGGAGCAGCATTATGCATTCAGTCAGGATACTGCCATTTAAACTTTTTTCCTTTTTACTTATATTTGTAAAATTAGCTTACAAAGTAGTGGGTTTCCATAAAGCTTTCCATATATCCTTAGTTTTGGTCAACCTCCCCACACCCTCTCCTTTTCCCAATCTCCCTGGCACTACCGCCATATAGACCTTTCCACTCTCAGAATCCTTGCCTCTTTCTTCATGAAAACAAATCCGAAGGAAGTAGATAGCCAGTTCAGAGGATGCCACCCACCGAGGCTGGGGCATGCCCGGGGTGCTGGAGACTGGCTGTGTACAAACAGATTGACATGGTGGGAGCCTGCTTTCCCAGGACTGGAGAAGGGAGGCACAGATGTAGAAAAGGGAAAGCCAGTTGACGGAACCTCAACTAGTACTGGATTAAAGTTGAAGCTGCTAGTGCAAATAATGAGATAGACAGGGAGACAGACAGACAGTCTACCTCTCAGCTACACATTAGAAAACAACAACAACAAACCACATGATTGTATGTTGTAAAGGTTTCCCCCCAAATGACGACAATATTACAAGGACACTGAAACCAGCTTTAAGGGACTTTTTCTTTGGAGACAGGGTTTCTCTGTGTTGTTTTGGTGCCTGTCCTGGATCTCGCTCTGTAGACCAGGCTGCCCTGGAACTCATAGAGATCCTCCTGGCTCTGCCTCCCAAGTGCTGGGATTAAAGGCGTATGCTACCACCGCCCGGCCTTTAAGGGACTTCTACTGGCTAAATCTGAAACAATCTGAGGGTCACAATAATAGTAAAGATCCATTGATAAAATACAAACACATGTGCTTACCCAGATACAACTCTATGAATGAACCAATACATGCAGAAAGTATTTCTCAAAGTGCAAGGTCTATTAATAAATACAGAGCAGATGAAGGCAGGAGAAAGCCCCCCTCTGAGGGGCGTCATTGTGGTACCAAAGGCCAGAAATGTTAATAGAAGACAGTGACTATGGGGCCCTGTGGTTGAGGCCAGACTTGGGACCATGATCCACCCACTCCGCCTCCATCTTTCAGAACTGTGTCTTTGTCATCTAGACAGCTGACCTGGGTCCACAGTCCCGTGTGTCCCCCAGGCTGTCTCTATCACTCCTGAGCCCTGTCTTTATGACCTTGAATTGAGTTCTACAGCTTTCTTAAACCGCTCCTTAACTGTAAGCACAGCATTACATCTTCTGACAGAATGCTGATGTAACAACAGCTTTCGTTCACGGAGCCCCTGCCCAGACTTGGTCATCTCACGAGTATTTGCTCCTTGACTGACTCCTGACAAGAGTCCTTCCAGGAGAGACCATGCTTAGGCACATTCCACCAGTGAGACCAGTGTAGGCCCAAAGACAGTAAACAATAAAAGACAAAAGGAGCTGACTTGTAAACCGCTCACAATGTGCCTCGAGGACATGTGAGTGTCGCCAGAAGAGTGGACTGTCCCCAGAGCATACATCTGTACTTAATAGGAGCAGCTTGTAGAGATGGAGGGAGTGCCTCAGATAGCTTCCCAAATGCAGATCCAAAGCAACAGAAAGCGGTTTAACCAGCCAAGCAGCACAGTCCACTTAGCCAGGGCCCTCGCCTTCCGGCGACATTTATTCTCCCTCCATTTCTCTGCTGCTGTCAATTGGAAGAGTGATTGAAAGCAGTGAGTACTGGAAGGGAGTCAGGGGAAGGAGCCAGCCAGGTGCAGGCAATAAGGGCCATATTAGTCTGTAGAGTTTAAAAATAATACTAAAACCAACTAAAAGCCATCTGGTCTATATCATCACCATGGCCATGGCAATTGCAAACAGTTGGCGACAAATATAGCCAAAGGCTGGTCTTCTATCCGCTAAAAATGACACTGGTTGGAAGGGGTCCGTATTACCAAATTGTGACTTTCATGTCATTCTGAATTCCAAAATATGCAAGTATTTCAGCTGTAATAGATGCTCAATAAACACTAGGCTGAAACCAAGTGAACACGGGTGTGTGTGGAGTCCTTTTCACGCTATGCCGGAGCTCCCCCAGAGCCCTGCCTGGGTGTCCTTTTCCAGGAAGCTTCTTGCAACACAGAGACCCTCAGTTAAAACATGGAGGAGAATTGAGGTAACGGCCCGAGAAATGTAGGCCAAGTCAGAGCCTTGTCAGAATAACACAGAGAACTGCCTCCATCACTCACCCTGCAGCGGCAGAGACCATCAGGCCCACAGCTTAGAGACTTTATTCATATATTTTATTCTCCTTCCTTGGAAAACCAACAAAAATCACCCCGTAATTCAGGATATTAGAGAATCTATTAGTTGTGGGGCTGGGATCCTAAGGGAAACTAGGTACTAACAAATACTCCTGTTGACTGACACCCTCAGTCGCTCAAATTACTTAAACCAGCTCCTAATTGAAAACAGCTGGCAGGAGAGAGCAAGGCCCTGGGCTGGGCCAGGAATCTGGTTGCAAATTCATTCACTCCCTAGAAAGAAACTCATCTCCATTAAGGGTTAAAATGTGGGGAGGTCAGGAGAGCAGTCCTTGAGAGCAGGACTGGAAAGTGGCTAAGCGAACCTGAGAACAAAGAGCGTTCACATCCCAGCCCAGCGGCTGCAGCGCCTTGCTCAGCCTGGGCCTGAGTATGTGTGGAGAGACTGAGTGGGCTGGGAGGGCCTCAGCTTCAGCAGGATTTCACTAGACATTATCTTTCCAGAGGAGGCATCACTAATCCTGATGTGTCTGGCCAAATACCTCTCCCCAGAGTTATCATCAGCTAGAAAGTGCAGATCTCCACACCTTTGAACGTGCGTGGGGCGGGGAGGGGTTGGGGTGGGGGTGACTTTAACCTGGGCCCTGCCAGTGACACCTAATGCCCCTCCAGACCCAATGTGTCCTGCACTCTGCTAGCCTCTCAGCCACTGGGCTGCGTGCCCTGACCCTGCTCTTGGAAAGCTGTGCGCAAGCCTCTCCCTCTAGACCTTGGCATTGGTCTCCAGCCCAGACTGGGAATTGCAGGAGGCGAGGCAAGGCCTCACTCAGGTGTGTAGATCACCCTTCCGCAGAGTCAACTGGCAGCGGTGGTCATTAGTGACTGGTGGCCTGGATGCCAGTGGCAGCCACGCTGGGTAGTTTTCAGTGGTGTGACCTTGGCTCTGCTCTTGGGTGCCAGATCCTTTTGGTTCTTGCCTGTTTACTGAGCCAAATTTCCCAGGCTTCCCATCGATTCTGTGAACTACTTGAGTGCTGTCCAATAATTTTTCTTTTTTTCTACCAAGAGTCGATTTGTAGTGTTGGAAATCAAGAACCCTGCCTGGTACAGCATCTGTCCCTGCAAGACTCTCGCGCGCGCACACACACACACACACACACACACACACACACACACACACACACACACACACGGGTGCAAAAGAAAACAGGAGAAGCAGATTGAAGGGAACGAGACGTCAGAAAAGGAGAGGCATTGTGGAAATGTAAGGAGAGGGAGGGGGAAGGATTGGCAGGTGAGGCAGAACAGCCTGGAAGGGGTCACACACCTTGTTAATGCTTGTAATAAGAGCCTTGGAGGAAACTGCCCCAGTGGCCTCCCTAAGGTATTTCCGCATTGCTATTTCTGTCCAACAATGTGGTTTAAATGGTTTCTCGGCACTGTTTTAGAAACAACCGTTCCTTGATTCAGTCTCGCTTCTGGAGATAAACCCAGGCGTTAGCTTTGACTTTATACATTGATCAAGCTCGCAGCGTGCTGGGAAGTGCACAGATATATGGGCATGCATATGCATGACATGCTATGATATGATAAATATATGCATGAGAAAAGCGGGTCTGGGGCTGGTTATGTGGGAGGGGAACCTTTATGTAACAAGCTTATTTAATATCTCAAAGGGGAAACATTACTTACTATGCCACATTAGCCTATCATTCATCTTATGGGTAGACAGAATGAAGGATCTTCGACAATTAATAGAAATTGTTGGAAAAATTATGATTAAGTGCCATCTGCTGGCTTCTGTGCATTCTATTTTCACGGCCCTTGCAGCCTGCCCTTGTAATTATTGGTGTCTCTCTCCTGTTCTTAACTGGTTCTGCCAACCTTTGTGGGAACGGAGGTGGGGGTAGAGAATGCACGCATCAGGGTGACGCTCACCCAAATACAGGAATCCATCTTCTTCCAGATTCCCAACTCGAGAGGGTAGACTACGGCTTATTTTAGAATTCTGTTTTCGTAGCAGATTGAGCAAGCGGTGTATGCTTAGCGTGTGTGTATAGAAGGAGGTGGGCAGTGCTTTGAAAGTGACTTCTCTCTCTCTCTCTGGTTTCACTTCTCATCTCAGAGGGCCGATATGGTTTGCATCTCAAAAGCTCTGTCCAGCTTCTGGCAGGTGAGGAATCTCTGTGTCTCATTCAAATGACATTGTAGCCCGGGAGCCTTTGCAACTCGGAACCTGGTGGGAAGAAAAAGCAGGTTCCACGTGAGCATGTTTGACCCCTTGCCCTGGAGCCCCGACTGCAAGTGCTCAGTGGGAAGTAGATCTTCACTGTTAGTAAATGGCTGTGACTTTTGTTTACATGGCGAGTCCAGGCATGGGTCAGCCCTCCAATTCCTGCAGGAGACCTGAGAGTCGGTTGTTTATCTGGGCGACTCACACTCCTGTCTGATTTGGACTTATGAGATTGATGTTCCAAAGTTCCCAAGCCATGATGAGTCACTGTCTAGTGAAGGCCCTGGATGAGCTAAGCACTGTGGTCGACCATTACAGCTTTAAAAATGTGTTTATTTGTGGATGTGTGGGTGGGTGGAGTGTGTACATGTGCTGGCATGGTGTAGAGGCCAGGAGTTGACAGTGGTGTCTTCCTGTGGGTGGGGATGGGATTTCTCACTGAACCTGAGGCTCAGTTCAGCAGGTGGCTAGCTGGCCAGTGAGCTTCAGGGATCCATGTGTCTCCATCCTGCTCTCACCCCGACCCTCTGGTATCGGGGTTAGGGATCCAAACTTGGGTCCTCTTGCTTGCACCCCAGTCAGTTTGCTGAGTTACCACTCACAGGTGCTCCTTCATTTAGTATTTTGGGATATTTACATATTTGAAATCAGTCCTAGAATGTCAAGTATACCTAACATCAAATGCACACACCTCATCACTTAATGTTATGTTTGAGACATAAAAAACGTACATAATGCGTTTGTGTTTTAAGGTAAAATAATCACATCGGAGGAGCTATGTCAGGTTCATTACGTTCATTTGATTCAGATTAGAACCAGGAAGTGGCAAGAATGCTGTGCGCATCACATAATTTCTCACACTCTGGTCGGATAGGTGCCGGCCTTCCCACTTTACAGATTGGTAAACCGAGGCATAGAAAAACAAGCCCTTCTCGGTTTCATGCAGCTAAGAGGGAGGAGATGTGGCAGGGTGTACCTTATCAGTTCTCAACAAAACCCTTTCTCTTGCCTCTTGTCTCGAGGGAAGCAAGGCTGGCTCCTTGTCCCGCCCCCATCACCAGGAGGCAGACCATGCCATGAACTCTCCTTGTGGACTTCTGAATGTGTCACCTCTGGGCTGAGAAGTCATTCTTGGAGGTGGCTTAGACTCTGCTGGCCTGGCAGACACTGCTGGTTTTCACCTCACGCCCCTTCACATCAGCGGCTTTCTTCTCCAGTGACCTGTAGTTTTTGGTGTAAGTGGCCAAGGCAGGTGGACAAATGTCCGAGAGTGGCCATTTCTGGGAGTGGCTTTGGTGACGCAGTCCACCTTTTCTTTGTCCCCTGAGTGGGGACAGTACCGCTTTGCCTGAGTCCTCGGCCCTTCCCTGTCCACCGGCTCCCGTATGCCGCTTCTCTTCCTTCTGCCCTAGTTCACCAATCAACACAGGGAAGAAAGGGCTCCTCGGGCTTACAGGTGACAGCCCATTACTGAGGGACATCAGGGCAGGAACTGAAGCAGAGGACACAAATGAACGTTCCTTACTAGCTTGCTCAGCCTGCTTTCTTATACAAGCCAGGACCACGTACTGTGGGGTGGCGGCACCAGCGAGCTGGTCCCTCCTACATCAATCATTAATCAAGAAAACATACCACAGACATGCCCAAGGGCCAGTCTGATGAAGGCAATTCCTCAATTGAGGTTGACTCTTCCCAGGTGATTGGCGTTTGTGTCCAGTTGGCAAACACCAACTGGCACCCCATCTCAGTTCCGCAGAATTGACCAGCATAGCATCTCCGTTCCGGGTTCCCCAGCAGACATCCTGTGCTTACATTCCAGTCCCAAGATCAGGTTCTGGGAAACCCCAAGCTGAGAATTTTGGATTGTGTTCCCAGGATACAGCCACTGCAAAATGGGGTTACTCTCAGTTCGGGTTCTTCCCCCAAGACACGTGGCCCCAGGGACTGGGAGCGCTGTCCACAAAAGGTCTTCAGCTGTCAGTCTCCACCAGGCTTCCTCAGCTGCAAAGGCTGAGGTCTAACCTTGGCTCCAGAGCAGCTCTGAAGGGATTGTCAAGTTCCAGAGACCCAGAGGTGAGACCAAGGCTGTTGCTGGGCCTACCCTGCAGTGAGACTCCCCCCTCTGCACAATCATTTTCTTTTGCTTTTTCTCAGGGGGGTTGATCCCCAGGGTACCCCAGGGGACCTCCGTAACTAACATGCTGTGTGTTCATTTTTTTTTTGTATTCTGACAAGTTCTCAGTTGGGAACCTTTTAAAATCTGCTCTTGAGGAAAATCTCAATCTGTCACACTCCATTAGAGTGGGTCCCTAAATAATGTGTAGAGCAGGGCCCACATCACCCATAGTGGACATGTCCCCAGAGTGAAACTGACTCTTGTTTTGTCAAGTCAAGGGTACTTCAGGGTTAATTTGTCAGGACAGGATGACACTGTAAATTTAAATTTGTCTCTAGCACCTACATTCTTTCTAAGTATCAGTCTGTTTCCTGAAAATGATTATTTGTCTTCTGGTCTTGGCTGTGTTAGGGCACAAAGGAAAAAACACAACAAAACATCTTGAAGTGCAGTACTTGGATCTGCTGGACACTTTGAAACCAGGAGACTGGAAACCTCCGAGGCAGCCCGAGAAGCAAGCTCCCTCTGACCTTCTCCTGCCCTCCTGTCGCCTCCCTGTCTCCCTCCCCTAAAGTGAATCATAGTTCCCAGAATTCCCCTTCCCCAGAGTGTACCACTGAGACTAGAACACCTCTCCCCCAAAGCCACCTCACAAGGCCACTCTCCCTTCTCCTCTGAAGCCCTCACTCCAGTGGGTCCAGTCTCCTTTCAGGGAGGAAGCAAGGCTGCCCAGAGAGGCCTCACTGGGTCCCCTCTCTGTCTTTTATATCAGGTCACACCTTTTGGGCGGATCCATTTGCTCATGGCTATCTCTTCTTCATTAATCAGAAGTGTGAAGACATTTCCTGGGGGCTTTGGATCTTCATTTGTGGATTCTTCTATGATATAAAGCTTTGATTAGACAAACTCGTGAGGGCTTTTCCTTGCCAACCTGTCCTTTGTCGCAGAGGCTTCAGCCATGCTCCTTGTGATGGGTGACAGGAGGAGAAGGCTTCCCACCTTCCTGCTCCTACAGCTACAACTTCATGTCTACTTGAGTCTTGATTGCATTTTTTGGCTGCTCTCACGTGTCTCGTGATTTTGTTTGTTTGTTTGTTGTGGGGTAGGGTCTCACTGTAGTCCATGCTATCCCGGAACTACTAGCCTCTTGCTTTACTTCCCAAGTATGCTAACATTTATAGATGGATCTTCTTGACTACCTAGGTTTGGGGGAACAACTTTGCGGGGTGATGGGGCTAACCTCCCACCTCAGGCTAGGATGCGGAAATAGGGGTGTTGCCCTCCCGTGTGTTCGTGTGTCCCTGTGTTCGGTCACTCTACCGCCACCCCGTTGGTCCTTCTCTTCACAGTTCTAGTTCTGAAGCGGGGGGGCACGGGAGATGAGACTTACTCACCCGTGGAACACGTTAATTCCACACACACATTTCCAAGGCACCTCGTGAGCGCCGCACACAGAGCTGGGAGTGGATAAACGGAACCTTTGCTGGCAGCCTTGCCTTGGAGAGAGGCGAACACGGAAGAGCGGTGATGCAGTGTCAGAAGAATGGAAAAGGAGGCCAGAGAAGATGCCTGGGAACCTGAATGGAGGGATGCAGGCCAGCACCATGAGGAAAGTGCCCGTTAAGCTAGATCTGAAAGATGTAAGAATGCTCACTCGCTAAGCAGGGCTGGGTGACTCAGGCCTGTAATCTGAGACACTTGGAGGCTGAGGCAGGAGGATCCGGAGCTCAAGGTTACCGTTCATGCTGGCATATGCCTATAGCCACACCATTTGGGAGGTGGAGAAAGGAGGGCCAGGGGTTCAAGGCCAGCCTCTGCTACATAGCAAGGTAGAGGCAGCTTGAGATGTGTGAGACATGCCCTCTAAAAACAAAAAAAAAAAGGAAAACTAAGACCTGCCTGGGCCATTTAGTGAGACTGTGTTTCAAAATATAAATAATGAGAGCTAGGGGACACAGCTCAGTGACAGAGAATTTGCCCCACAAACCTGGGCTTAGTTCCCAGCACTGCTGAGGGAAGGGAGTTCCCAACTTCGAGAACGATGTGCGCAAAGGCACAGAGGACTTCGGTTGACCAGATATGGGGATGTGCAGCAAAGCCAGGGTTGTCAACCAGAGCCTTGAAAACTGGGGCTTGCCACATTCCTCTCTAGACCACAGGGACTGACTCTCCACGAGGCGAGTCGGAGTCTAGTATTGATTGAGAAATTAGATTTGTTTTGTTGTGAGACCGAGTTTCTTACGGAGCCCTGGCTGGCCGGGAACTCATTAGGTAGAGCAGCCTGGTAAGGACTTGTGGCAATTCTCCTGCCTCTGCCTCCTGGGTGCTGAGAAAAGTCTAGCTGATTGTGGAATTAGCATAAAGCATCTATTTTACACAGATTGTTTCACTTTTTCCTTTAAGAGCTTGAAGGGGACCCTGTAGGCATTAGCACAGACAGTGATCGGAGAAGAGATGAGAATGAAAACCCGGTGCAGATTGATTGACTTCCTCAACCTGGACCAGACTTCGGGGAGGCTAATGCCAGGCAGTTCGTTATCATCATCTTTAAAACACAGTACGATTTGGGAAAAGGTTTCCAGGCAACAGTCATTCCAATTTCAGGTGCACAATACCTCTTAAGGTGTGACTACATAGAAACTCCTTTACAAAGTACAGGTGACCATGAGGGTGGCTTCTAGGGCTAAAAGGCCGAGAATCTAATGTGATCTCTGACCTATAGCATAGAGGTCAGCAGGTCATACAGTGCATGTGACATCTCCCCCAAGGACGGATGATGGTCTAGGGAGAGAAGAGTCTGGAATAACCATTCTGGGGAGTTAGGGCGAGGTCTGCCTCCACGGATAGCAAAAAGGTCACCAAGTCATTAAAATCCACTCCCAGCCTTCTGGGTGGGGAAACAAGTACTTTATTTCCTCCACTGAGAAGAGGCCCTGCTTGTTTAACATTCCTGGTTTCCCTAGTGATCTGTGGGCACAAGGACCTTTGTGACCCCAACAAGAGCTGTTCTGACAGAGTCTGAGGCACAGCATCGGGATTCTTCTTCTTCTGGAAGGAGAAGCATGTCTGGCTGCAGAGCTGGGGTGAAGTAGAGTGCAGAGCTTGGTGATACAGAGGCAGGGTAGGAAGGAAGCATGTGGCATCTGTGAGTAGGGAGTGACAGAGGGCAGGAGGAGAGGACTGTCTCTATAGGACTTGGCGACTCTTGCCAGAGCCTGGGGGACCTCCTTGCAAGGGCAGATTCAGGCAGGTTTGGGAGCATGCTACATAGATTTCAGGCAGATATCCAGGTAGAGATTTCTACGGAGGAGTTGGATAGTGGGAAGGTAGGGAAGAGGCCTTGAGTGACAGTACAGGTCAGGGTCATCTCCCTGGAGGTAAATGAGGGCACAGTGAGGTGAATGACAGGAGGGGACACTAGAGAGTCACAGCAGGTATCCAGTCCCATCTACTAGTGGAGAACAGCATGCAGGTTAGCCTGTAACCCCCATTTTCCTATTTGGAGAACTGAGGCCAATAAACTGACCTCATAGAATTATTGCACAATAATGCGCACTCAGAGCACCTGGTGGCAAGCTCTGACATAAGTAATAGATAAAAGATACCTCTTATCCAGGAGTTGAGATCACAGTATGGTGGACAGGAGAGACAGGATGTGGCTGACACCTGCCTCAGGGAACTTGAGACAGTGACTTCTTGAGACAGATCAACAAAAAACTAGCAGAGAAACCACAAAAGGGCATCGGAGAATCAGAAGATAGATGTGGCTAGGAAGCAAAGGGAGTTGATCCCTCCAAGGAGGAGAGAGGAGAGAGATTTCCTGGTGTGATTGACACCTAGATAAAGAGCTGGAAGGAGGAGGAAGAGGAGGAGGGGGAGATGGAGGGAGAGAGGAGGGAGAGGAGGAGGGGGAGAGGAGGGAGAGGAGGAGGGGGAGATGGAGGAGGAGAGATGAGGGAGGGGAGGAGAGGGAAATGGGAGGAGGAGGAGGGGGAGATGGAGGAGGAGGGAGAGATGGAGGAGGGGGAGATGGAGGAGGAGGGGGAGATGGAGGAGGAGGAGGGGGAGATGGAGGAGGAGAAGGAGGAGGAGGGGGAGATGGAGGAGGAGAAGGAGGAGGAGGGGGAGATGGAGGAAAAGGGGAGATAGAGGAGGAGGAGGAGGAGAAGGAGGAGGAGGGGGAGATGGAGGAGGAGAAGGAGGAGGAGGGGGAGATGGAGGAGGAGGAGGGGGAGATGGAGGAGGAGAAGGAGGAGGAGGGGGAGATGGAGGAGGAGGAGGAGGGGGAGATGGAGGAGGAGGAGGGGGAGATGGAGGAAGAGGAGGGGGGAGATGGAGGAAGAGGAGGGGGGAGATGGAGGAGGAGGGGGGGGAGATGGAGGAGGAGGAGGGGGAGATGGAGGAGGAGGGGGAGATGGAGGAGGAGGGGGGGAGATGGAGGGAGAGGAGGGGGGAGATGGAGGAGGAGGGGGGGAGATGGAGGAGGAGGAGGGGGAGATGGAGGAGGAGGGGGAGATGGAGGAGGAGGGGGAGATGGAGGAGGAGGGGGAGATGGAGGAGGAGGGGGAGATGGAGGGAGAGGAGGGGAGATGGAGGAGGAGGGGGAGATGGAGGAGGAGGGGGAGATGGAGGAGGAGGGGGAGATGGAGGGAGAGGAGGGGAGATGGAGGAGGAGGGGGAGATGGAGGGAGAGGAGGGGAGGACAAAAACTTTCAGAGAAAAGAAATGCAACAGCTGGGTGTGGCAACAGGAGGCTGGAATTCTCGCATTTGGGGAGGCTGAGGCAGGAGGAACTCAGGTTTGAGTCCAGCCTGGGATACAGATCAGAAAAAAAAAAGAGAGATAAGAAAGAAATATGAATGGCTATTGAGGGGGTGGAGTTCAGAGGTAGAGCTTATCTCACACATGTGAAGCATGGGCCCATTCTCATACTCTGTGTGCGCGCGCGCGCGTGTGTGTGTGTGTGTGTGTGTGTGTGTGTGTGTGTGTGTGTGTGTGATACACAGATGAAAGTTGCCTAATACCACTCATCGTTAAAAGAATACATATTTCCACCTTTATATTGGTGAGGATGACACCGTTTGGTAACATTCAGTGTTGGACGAGACACTGAGGCACGGGGCCACTCCTGTGATCTATAAGTTACAATATTCACACTACTTTTTTTTTTCTTTGCCAGAACCAGTTATCACAAAATATCCAAACTGCAAATCAAGCCTGCATGCTTGATCCAGATTTTACACTTCTAAGAATTTGCCCCCTGGCCGCCTCACAAGTACACAGAGATGTAGCTTCTGCCATACTAATTATGACAAGGGTTAACGAGCTAAAGAGAAAAGCAGAAGTGAGCCAAACGCTGGCCAGACAAGAGCTGTTGAAATGGAGTGTGGGGTGTCCTTCCAGCCGGGGTGGCACGGACCGGGAGGGAAAGGGTTGCGGTGCAAAGACTGGGGCCTTGGAACACGATGTATGTGTCAAAATTGGATAAGTGGAGGCCAGGGAAGAGCAGTCCCCATTTGTAGTGTGGGCCGACAACACCGTGGAGACAATTCAACACAGCTTTGTTTGGCTTGGAGAGGGAGAGGAGCTGATGCTGTGCAACGTGACCCTTCCCCTCGGCCCCATCAATCTTTAATAATACTTTCAAAACCAGGATATATTTGGTGTCATTGGATTTCTTGTAAATGCTGGTCAAAGGGCTGAGTTCTGTGTCAAGTGCAGCTTGGAGCCAAAGAGAGTCAGCCAAACAGATGAGCTGGGTGAGGAACATCTGGGTCGCAGATGCTTATGTATGCAGAAGCATTTTCTTGAAGGGTATGCAGAACTCTGTTACCAGGGTAACCCCTGGAGAGTGAGAGCTTGGTGT